TCTACCCAGGGCAACAGCTTGAGGCTCTGTCTCAAAAAAATAAATAAATAAAAATAAAAACAATTAAAAATTAACAAAAAAGTATAACTCTCCAAGAGCTTCCCATCTCATTCAGAATAAATGAAAAAGTCCTCACTAATTTTAAGACTATCCTATTGCAGCCACATAGGACTCCATGTTATTCAGTGCCAGGTGTGTTCTCTTGCAGGAATTTGCTATTGTGGTTTTCTTGGCATACTATACCACAAAACATCCACATAGCTCATTCCCTGAGCCTTCAGTTTTTATTAAACTAGAAGGGAGAGGATGTTTTAGGTTTCAAGCTCTGAAGCCAGTGGAGAACATTGAAAAAAGCCACTGAGAGAATAATAGTGAAAGCCAACTAGCAAAAAGAAAAGGATAGATTAATTGAGCTTTTAGAGCTAAAAAAGTATGCCAATCAATCGCACCCTTTTTAATGTTTGTTCTTCTCATTACTATGAAAAGAAATAAAAAACAGACACAGAATATAGTGCAATTTATTTGGCAGTTTACCTATTTCTAGCAGGAGATTTCCCAGCATCCTCTTGAACAGATACAAGTCTCGTTGAAAGAGCAGTATTTGAGGAATCTGGATGAATCAAACTATAAAAAAAAAATAGGAAAATAATGAGATTATTTCGGCCAGTAAGAGGCAATGTCAATGAGGTTAATTTAACATTAAAAAGCAGATTAAATATTTTTCCTTGCAATAATGAGATTGAGTCATTTTTTTCTTCCTTTAATTTTTATCTTAAATATAACAAAACGCCAAAAGAATGATAAAGAAAGTTCTTAAATACAGAGAGTGCCAATAAAATAGTAAAATTGGTTGGACAGTTGACTTAGAAAACTCTTCTTCACATCATAAATAAAAAATGGCATTACTGTAGAGGGAAATCTGAGTTCAAATATTTAATTCTCAGTCCTCATAACCCACTGGAATAGCACCACAGAACCTGACAAACCTAGGCCCACGTGCAGGATCTATCTCTTACTAGCTGTTCATCATTTTATCTCTTCAACTTAGATTTATTATATACTCATTCTTCTCGCCTTTAAGAAGCAACTGAGAAAACAACTTATCAGATAGATATTATTAAAACTCTAAGGTTTTTGGCATGCCAGATTTGGTATTATGCTTAAGAATACAATTCAGCCAAAGAAAATAATAAGAAACAGATGAACCTAAGATTCTGATTCAACTAACTCCAGGTAACTTCCAAAAAAGTTAGTAGAACTCTCCACTAAAAGGCAGTGCAGCATACTTAGACATACACTAGAACATGAACTGTTCTTTCGGAAAGAAAAAATTCTAATTCCATTTGGAAATATTATAAATACAAATCTTATAAGCATTTCCCTTCCCAAAGAAGGCTACATTAAGAATTATAAATCTCAGTAACTTCTGTTACCAACTCAACCATATTAAGATCGTATACATGCCACGCCCTGTTCTTGGTGCCTGGGGTAGAACAGTGAAAAGAAAGGTATAAAGTCTTCTCTCACGGAGCTTACATTCTAATTAGTCAATATCATCACTATCCATAAACATCTGCAATCCTTCTGGAAGCAAGCCAAAAAAAGGAGAGAAAATAATGAATTTGCAGGAAACAACTCAAAGAAAGTAAATGTGAACCAATAGTGCTCAGAGGCATTTCTCAGATTCAAATAAAATTATTACATTTAAGGAAGAATACCTTTGCCAGGCCAAATCATCCTCTAAAAATATGTTACGGCTGGCTTTTCTACTCCCAACAGGTGTTCGTGGCTCACTCGGATCAAGTACGGACACAGAGCAAGTAGAATCTGAAAGAGCATTCAAGTCTTCCCCAATGGAATTACTGTCTGTGGAATGAGCGTAACTTAAGGCTATTTTTCTACAATATGTGCAAGCTCGAAGGTCCCCTAGGAGAAAAAATTAAATTAAATTAAGTAAAAAGATACCAGAAACAGATTACTTAAAATGTTTTAAGTCCTTGGGTTAACAGTTAATCTAATAACAGGGAAAATCAATGTCTTTAAACAAAAACTCCATTTTAAAGAAGTGAAATAATTTTGTTAGCTCTGTTACATATTTTAAGAATCATCATTACAATAAATTCATGAAAGTGTCTAAATTACCTCAAATCTTCGTATCAAATTACCTCAAATATTTATATTTGACCCAATGATACTAGAAAGTTCTGCTTTTTTCAAGGTTGGAAAAGTGAAATAAGGGATTTATTGTATCACAGGCAGGAGTTTCAAGGAAAAATCATTTTTTTTTTTGCAGTTTTTTTGGCCAGGGCTGGGTTTGAACCCTCCACCTCTGGCATACGGGGCCAGCGCCCTACTCCTTTGAGCCATAGGCACCGTCCCAGAAAAACATTTCTTAATAGAACAAAGCAATACAAATGGGAACAATATATTTTCCATAAGCAAATAAAGAAGAAAATACTATTATTGAGTAGAGCCCTGAAGAGTGGCCTGCACTAGGGGGCAGAATTTTAAAAACAAGTTAATAGAAAATGAGTTTATATATAATATGCTGTATGTGGGTAAAAACTATAAATGAAATTCTTATAGTGAAAGTTAGGATAGAAATAAAACTAGGGAAAAAAATAGTTATTTAATCTTTTCTAAATATATTTTGTAAGGATGCAGTCCTCCTCAAATACAAGTTTTAATTTCTACCTAATTTTTCTGTATCATTGTTTTGGTGATTCTATAACATTTTAGTGTACTAAAAAAGGAGGTGAAATAATTAAACCATACTGATAGCATGTTATTTAATAATTCTCCCTAAAATTTTTCCCATTAATATCATAACACTGAAGTTATAAAAAAAAAATTCTAAAAGTTAACTATATAGTGTTTTTACCATAATTACCAACAAGTATAATAAATGACCTTTTTTTCATTTTAGGATTATATAGTACTCAACTGTATTAAATTACGCAAATAAAATAAAAATAAATGCCACTTGTTACATTACTAATTTCTGACACCACAATACAACAAATGAAATGTATTAAAATCTAGAGAAAAATATATCCCCTTCAGTCAGCACCCCATCCCTCCCCAAAAAGCAAGAGAGGAAACTCCAGCCTAGAATAAATGCAAGTGTTAGGACACACTACCACCAGCCAAAGCAGAAGTACAGTAAGGAAGTAAATTACTCCCTACAGAAAGACCTTCAATTTTTCACAACAAAGGCTTGGTTTGTATCTTAGGTTACAAAGGAAATATCCCTTCACCGATCAGCAATTAGAACAAAAATTACCAAATCAATAAACACAGCTAAGCCTGACCGGAAAAGTTTTCATTTCATTAAGATCTTTTATCAGCAAGGACCTATTAAGTGCATGCCTGCATTATGTGAAGGGAATACAAAGGTGGATGTGATTCAGCCCTGCCATCAAAGAACCTGTAGTCTACTGGAGGCAAAAGACATAAAATTAAAAAGCTGTATGACAGATCCAGATACTACCAACAATAATAATATTCATCAATCCTGTTCTATGTGCCAGACGTTTTTTATAGGTATTTTGCATTTATTTAGGGTTACAATGCACAACTGTACCCAGCATGTGTTTTTTGAGACAGACTTCCATTCTGTTGCCCACGCTAGAGTGCTGTGGCATCAGCCCAACTCACAGCAACCTCAAAGTACTGGGTTAAAGCAATCCTCCTTGCCTCAGCCTCCCAAGTAGCCAGACTACAAGTGCCTGCCAAAACACTTGGCTAATTTTTTCTATTTTTAGTATAGGTAGGGTCCATTTTGCTCAGGCTGGTCTCAAACTCCTGAGCTCGAGTGATCCTCCCACCTCAGGATTACAGGCATTAGCCACCACACCTAACCAGCTAATCTTATGCGTCAATGTGGCAATACTACTTGGTTGGTTTTAGTTTTGTAGCTTTGCCAGTAGTAGACTTTGCACACCATTTGAAGAGATTAATCCTGCTCTGCCTAAAGAATCTGTCATGAACTTCCCTGACTTAGCTGCCTTGCAAGATGCTGCTAATTTTCTTCAGAATCCACCCCACTGCTCCTCTTTGCTACGAGACCTACAAGGAGAATCAAGTCCTAGCAGGTGTTGAGAAGGTATTTGGGGGGGATATTATTAACATTTAAAGTTACCTGACTTTAAGTAAAACAGATGACACTCCAAAATGTGGGTGGATCTCATCCAATCAGTTGAATTCCTTAAGATCAAAAACTAATGTTTTCATAGGAAAAAGAAATTCTATCACAAAACAGTAAAATCGAAATCCTACAGTAGTTTCCAACCTGCTGAGAATTTCAGACTTGCCAGTCTCCCCAATCACTTGAGCCAATTCCTTAAATAAACCTCTTTCTATATATGCAGAAATGTATTTATGTATTTGGGCAGAGGGGTACTCTATTGGTTCTGTTTCTCTAGAAAACCCTAAATCAGAGTATGATACCAAGAATGGTTCTACAGCCTAAAAGAATCTTAAAGATGAGTTTTCTCAGTTAGTTCTTGAATTTCAGTAATGGTGGTTTTCTAATTTGATTAGATTCAAAAACACTAATAACTCTATTTCCAATAGTAAAGAGAACACTACTGTCAGTCAATAGTAAGATATGGCAATAATCACACACAAAATATCACCTATTGATACTCCTAATCAAATACTTGTATGAGGGAAGGTTCTGAGTGACCATGTATTTAATACCTTGGATTAGAACATTTTTATCAAAGTGACAAGCATAATGACATTGGCTGGTTGCTTCTAATTACAAAGTGGGAGCGGGGTACGCCTGACCAGCCTGAGCAAGACCTAGACCTCATCTCTACAAAAAATAGCCAGGAGTGGTGGCATGCACTGGTAGTTCCATCTACCAGAAAGGCTGAGGCAGGAGAATCACTATAGCCTAGGACTCTGAGGTTGCAGAGAGCTATGATGACACTACTGCCCTCTAGCCCAGGTGACAGAGAACCTATCTCAAAAAAAAAAAAGTGCTTCAGTTCTGAGCATCTCAGCTCAAAGAACTATACAAATTATCTAAGTTTCTATGTCCCCCTTAAAAGAAATCCTTGCCTCCATCGGCTCGGCACCTGTAGCTCAGCGGCTAAGGCGCCAGCCACATACACCAGAGCTGGCGGGTTCGAAACCAGCCCAGGCCTGCCAAACAACAATGACAACTACAGCCAAAAAATGGCCTGGCATTATGGCAGATGCCTGTAGTCTCAGCTAGTTGGTAGGCTGAGGCAAGAGAATCGCTTCAACCTAAAAGTTTGAGGTTGCTGTGAGCTGTGATACCACAGTACTCTAACCCAGGGCAACATAGTGAGAAAAGAAAGAAAGAAAAGAAAAGAAAAGAAAAGAAAAGAAAAGAAAAGAAAAGAAAAGAAAAGAAAAGAAAAGAAAAGAAAAGAAGGAAAGAAAGAAGGAAAGAAAAGGAAGGAAAGAAAGGAAAGAAAGCAAAGAAGAAAGGAAAGAAATCCTTGTTCCTAAAGCCTTAGTACCAAGATTCTTAAAAATGCAAATCCAACCAACAGTCTCATCCTGCAAGTGGCTGAATTAAAACACAGACTGAATTGCCAACTTTGCAGTATGTCTGCTATTAATGTGAGGGCATTAATAAGCAAGGAATGGGACCCTAAAAGCTGGAATGGGTATATATGGGCAGATTGTGATAAAACTGGGAATACTAAAAACCAAAATTCAGAGTCTTCTTTGCCAGTAGTAGACTTTGCACACCATTTGAAGAGATTAATCCTGCTCTGCCTAAAGAATCTGTCATGAACTTCCCTGACTTAGCTGCCTTGCAAGATGCTGCTAATTTTCTTCAGAATCCACCCCACTGCTCCTCTTTGCTACTAGACCTACAAGAAGAATCAAGTCCTAGCAGGTATTGAAAGGTGAAATACAAAGTGTAAGGTGCCAAAAGAACTATACTATTTTTCCAATTGATACAGACAGAAACTCAGGAAATAGGTACGAGAATGGATACTGAGGGTATGGAATAATGGTAGAGAAAACATAAAGTTAGATCAAGTTGAATTCACTAATATATGGGTCCACCAAGCAGAGATTCATTCTATAAGCTAATGTGGCAGCTTGAGGCATTAAAAAGGTCAGTGATAGGGCAAAGTGAACAGTGGCTCACACCTGTAATCCTAGCACTCTGGGAGGCCAAGGCAGAAGAATCACATGAGCTCAGGAATTTGAGACCAGCCTGAGCAAGAGCAAGACTCTGTCTCTACTAATAACAGAAAAAAATAGCCGGTGTGATAGCAAGTGCCTGTAGTCTCAGCTACTTGGGAGGCTAAGACAGGAAGATTGCCTGAACCCAGGAGTTTGGGGTTGCTGTGAGCTAGGCTGATGCCACAGCACTCCAGCATGGGCAACAAAGTGAGACATTGTCTCAAAGGTCTCTAACAATCTGTTTAGTTGATTGACTAAAACACGGAGCAAAAGGTGGCTTACACTAAATGAAGCTGAAATGTCCTATCGCCCTGGTCTACCAGAGAAAGGGATCCAAAGGCTAACAGAGATTCAAATGTTAAAAGTGGATTTACCACAAGATGTGGGCCAATGACCCCAGGAAGAAATGCCTTTACCTTTCATGGTGACTATGAGAAATAAATTTGTGAGGGGAGCCCCAGCATCCCTGAAAAGCTTTGTGATTGCTTTTCTTTGTAGGTCAGAAATTACAGCAGAAATTGATGCCACTGAATCAGTGGATCCCAGGGTGGCAGGGGCCAGGTGACAACACTTTATCACCAAAGGTAGGCACAGTTACTGTAATGGACATAAGAGCCACAGCAGTGATTAGACTAGCCTCACTCAAAGAGACCTATGGCATTAGCTAGTTGATCACGGTGTCCCTAGAAGTGAAGAAGATGATCAGTCAACTAAATTCTTACTTGGTTTGTGTAAGAGGAAGAATTCTGCATCAGGTAGACAGAAGTCTAACTTGAATCATCAAAAACAGAGAGTTGTGATCCCTCAATCAATTCAGATTTGAGCCATTTATAGACCCAGAACTCCTCGAATAAAAAGACTGGGTCCTCTTGAGAACAAGCCCCATTAGAGTGATGATGTACACATTACTCTTTCTACCAGCCTTCCCCCAAGGGATCTATAACATTTTACTAAGGTGACTGTTCATTAAGAAGAAGGAAATGGTCAGACTATTCAGGGATTATTAGACAATGACTCTGAACGCACTGACTCCAGGAAACCCAAAACATCACTGTGGTCTACCAAAGTAGAGCTGTAAGGAGGTCTGGCGGTCAGTGGAATTTTAGCTCAGATCCACCCCACCTGCAAATTTAGTGGGCCCTCAAACCCATTCTGTGGTTATTACTCCAGTTCTGGAATCCATAATTGGAATAGACAGTTGTCAGAATCCCTACATTGTTTCCCTGACTTGTAGTGAACTGTAAGATAATAAATTTCTGTTACTCTAAGCCAAGCAGTCCTCAGTGCTTTAGTCAAGTTTTATACTAAAGGTAATAGGAGCTCTGAAAGGGTATTACACAGAGAAATAACCTGACACAATTAAATAAGCATTTTTACAACCACTACTAACATGAGAATAAAAAATAAGAAAAAAAATCTTTTAAAAGCTGTAGTCATGATCTGGGTAAAAAATAATGAATTTTGAACTCTGAATTCTGTACTACTTTAGGTTAAGAAAAAAAAAAGTAAATAAGACCAAGAGAAAGATCTGCACAATAACATGAAAGTGGGTGGCATCCATAGCTCAGTGGGTAGGGTGCCCCACATACACTGAGGCTGGCAGGTTCAAACTCAGCCTAGGCCAGCTAAAACAACAGTGACAACTGCAACAACAACAAGGCTCAGCGCCTGTGGCTCAAGTGTCTAAGGCGCCAGCCACATATACCTAAGGTGGCAGGTTCGAATCCAGCCCAGGCCCGCCAAACAACAATGACGGCTGCAACCAAAAAATAGCCAGGCGTTGTGGTC